GAAGGTTTGAGGGATGGGCCCAGTGTTACACACACAGCAGCTGGGGCCAGGGCTGTGACTTCACACACCTCTAACTTGCGCCTTTTTGCTTTTCAGTTCATAAAGCTTTGGGGCTATCCTTAGCTTATTTGCTTCTCACAATGACCCTGTGTGTCCCGTGAAGCAGGGATGGTATCCTTGAGTGCAGACGAAGAAAGTGCAGCTCAGAGGAGTCGTGTAACTTGCGTAAGGTCACACAGCCTACAAGTGGCAGGGCACAGTTTGATAGACCAAGGACTGTCTGGTGCTTTCCTTGGCCCATGTTCTTGTTATAAATAGCATTTCCCACTTCCTTTGTCTTGGATTTCCCACTCTCCCGCACTCTACCCTGGGGTCAACCCCTCCTCACTACCCCTAGGATCCCCTAGTCCTTTGTGGCAACCCATCTGTTGCCATGGCACCAGATTATGATGTCGCAGACCCTGGTTGACTATGTATCACTCCTGGGCTGAGGGACTCACAGAGGTGGGCATTGTCCAAGGGGCAGACTGGCATGGGGGGACATAAATCCCTGGAAACAGGGAGCCATGAGCCCAGCTGCGGAATCACCCTGGGAACCAGAGCCAAGGCCGGCAGAGTAGGGGTCTGGCATGGCTTGCTCTGACAGCCTTAGAACGGCAGCACAGCCCTCATCTCATGGCAGGGCTGATATGGTCTCTTCACGAGGGACTATTGGGCTCATTGCACTGAACGGCCCGACACGGGATGTTCACTAGGATCTCCCAGAAAAGTCTTTTTGCCTTTTGTCCTTGTGACAAAGCTGCATGGGGAAGCCACATCCCCACTTGCCCAGGTTCACCCCGAGGTGGCTATGCCAGGAGTCAGTCTCCACTCTGACTCCAGATCCTTCCATGTGATCACACTTCCGGTGGGGCCCTCCAGCGTGCTTTACTCTAGTCCCCACTCCTGGCCATCCATTAGCAGAGCAAAAGCTGTCCCAGGCCTGGGTTTATTCTGCTGCACACTTCTGGGCACATTCCAGGAGACCTGAGAGGTGTTTCAGTACATTTGAGGACTCTCGGGTCCTCATTCTTAGCCTGGTAACACTGAGGTGGCCGAGGGTCTGAATGGAAAGAGATCAAGCTTTGGCAGCTGCCACACAGAGTTGAAATCACACTTCTGCCACCTAACACCCTCACCTCTAAGCCTTAATATCCTCTTCTGTACAATGGGATTAACAACAGCTACCAAGATAGCTGTGAGGAGTCACTGGGATATTGGGTGAAAGGTGCCAGGCCAGAGCCAAAAGGTGCCAGGCCAGAGCCAGAGTGGAAAATCTCCAAACCGGTCCAGCCAGTGAACAAATCTGTTCCCAAAACCACCACCACAGGGCACTCTCCCTGCAGCTGCCATTTCCCAGCCGGGGCTGACCTCGAAGCTGCCCTCTGGGACAGCAGTGGTGTTTTTGGCTGCTCTGGCCTCCTTGCCCAGTGCCTGCAGGGCTTGGCACATGGAGGGAGGACAAGCTCACCCCCAGGCTTTCAGAATCCCAGGCAGGGCAGGGTTTTTGGGGGGTATCTGGTTGTCCTGTGCCCAGTGACAGAGCCCCATCATCACCTTCTTCAAGCCTGCCCTGATGTTTTGGGCACATCTGACCAGACATCCTTGCCAGACTTGCCTACTCGCTTTTAATTCCCAGAGACTGGGCTGGGCTGATTCTGTGTTCTCAGTGCAGAACGTAGAAGAGAAGTAAGGTTCATTGAATGTGGAACTGAAGCTTGCACAGGGCTTGCTCACCTACTGTAAGGTTTTTCTTCCACATCTGATACTGCTGAATGTTTGTTTGGGGAGCCATGGTGGGGATGAGCAGGCATCTGACTGTGGGTTCAGATTGTGACCCTGCTCCCCCAATATGTGACCTTGGACATGTAACTTAACATCTCTGGGCCTGGATTTCCTCATACGTCAAATGAGTACATAGCAGGCCCCTTGCCATGAGGTTTCTTGGGTAAAAACACCTGGCAGAGACTGGCACAGGGGAAGCACCCAGTAAGTGTTAGAGTGAGAAAAAGAAGAAACTAGGATATACATTTATTTTTTTTTTGGATGCTGAGCTTCTTGTGAGGGAAAAACCACTGGTGTTCACATTAGGAAATTCCCCAGGTGCTGTGGTTCATATTGGTACTTACTTTAAGATGATTACGGACTATGATTTACCAATAGGTGGTATTCGTATCTATCACTGACAATGACCTCTCAGTGCAGGAAACAGGGCGGGCTGCTCCAGGGCCCTGGGCTGAGAGGCAGGAGAGCTGTTCTTATCCCTGCCGTGCTGTATTTCCCTAAGCCAGCCCCTTTCCCTTTCTGGGCCTCAATCCACACATCTGAAGGTGGACTCTGAGTCCTCAGGTTTCTTCTAGTTCTGCACATACAGAGGCATTCTTCTAAGCAAAGTGTGAAGAAAATTCATCTTAGAATGCAGATGTACTGCAAAGATTCCACTGAAAAGGACAGGCATGGAACAGATTCAGAGACCCAGTCTCTCTCGCCAAATCCCTGCCAGGCTACCCGGAGGATGGGGAGCAGGCCTGCAGCCCCAGAAGCACCCAGAGGGCCTGTGGATAGATTTGAATAAAGGTGGTCCATGGAAGTAGCTTCCTCGGGAGAAGGCAAGTCCCAGAGCTGCAAGTATGGAGCAGAGGCTGGGCAGCTGTGCTCGCATTTGGCTCAGTGTCCCCCACTGAGACCTACCCCAAGCTGGATTCTTGTGAATTTGACAGTCCCTGTGCTGCAGGGACAGGGAAGAAAGCAAACCATGTTGGACTCATGATCAGTGATGATCTAGAACAGAGATCATCGAAATACAGGCCACAGGCCTCGCCTGTCCCTAGTTTTTGTAAATAAAGTTTTATTGAAACATAACCATGCTCACTTATTTATCTAATGTCTCTGACTGCTTCTGCCCCATAATAGCAGGGTCGAGTGGTGTGACAGAGACCATTTGGCCCTCAAAGCCTCAATAGCTACTATCTGGCCCTTCACAGAAAAAGTTTGCCAACCTCTGCCCTAGAAGGACACTCAGCAGATTGTAGGAGCTCAGGAGGCTCCCACATCAAGAATGGAGGTGATACTTAAGCCCAGTGTGTAATGGAAACAAGGCGGGAGGTGGGGGAAAGGGCTTTCAGACAGCTTGGACAAGACATGATGGTATAAAAAGCATGGAGTATGTAGGGACCTACCTGCAGCTGAGGTGGGGCTAGATTGGGAAGTATGAGGAGGGGAAGATGAGGGAGTGGGGCAGGCTGGGGCCACGGGACTTCTCAGCCCCTGGGGAGAGGCCGCATGCTATGGCCCCTGATGTTAAATCCATCCCAGGCTCATTCCAGGGGGGGACTTTGGTGGTCTGAGCGCCCCAAGGCCTGGGGTAAGTCACTGCTGTGCTGAAGTATCCTCTTTTAGGCTGAAAAGGGACCCCCACCGCTGCCCCCTGCCGCCTTCATTTCTGGGCCTCCTGATCTGGAACTACCACACCTGAAAGCTTATCTCTCACCAGATCACCCTCCCTTTTCCTGATGAAGAAACTGTGGACCAGAAAAGCGCCATGATGTGCTTGAGGGTACAGAGCAAAATAGCACAGCAGTGACTCGAATCCAGACCCCCGGACTCCCTGCCCAGTGCTGTCTTCCTCACCTTGTTCTGTAGCGGGTCCTGGACGCTTGGTCCAGCAGGAACAGGGCATGTGTGAGTTCGATGCAGATGAGCCCCCAATAATTCAGAGGCCTAGGGCTGCTATGGAGGGTGCAGGGTGTCAGGGGTGGAGTGCTCAAGGCCCCTTCCGGTCTCCAACACCCCCTGCTACTGGGGGTACCCAGGCAGCCTCAGTTCCACCATGGAAGGCCTGACAGGGCAACTGCTCTCCCCCGGGCCTGCTAGGTGCGCCCAGTGCTGTGCTGCTACTTGGGAAGAAGCTGGGGCACCTTGTGACATGGGCAGCCATCTCTTTTCCTCTCCTTGATCTGGAAACTCTAGTTCCTCTTAGGACAAGACACAGAAAGCAGCAAAGAACCAGTCTGGGGATGGTACCCATATTCTTATCTCAGCTCTGTTACCAGCTGTGAGCTCTCAGCCTGCTATATCCCCTGTGTGGGCACAGAACCCCATTCCTTCAGCTTCTAATTGAGACTCAAACCCTGAAAACAACAGTAGCTGCCACTTCTCCAGCATCTGCCATGTGCCTGAGTCTGCTGCGGGTTCTTCATACATTATAACTTCTTGTTGCTCCTCCTCACTGCCTTTTGTCTTCCTCTCCCTATTCTATAGATAAGAAAATGTACACTCAGAGGTTAAGGAACATCCTCAAGGTCACACAGATAGGAGGAGGAGGAGGAACTGGGATTGAAATCCCCAGAGCAGTGTGGAGATCACCCCGCAGGCTGTAGACACCTGGGGGCAGGGACTGATTTGGGTGTCTTGCCCAGTAGATCCTCCTTCCACTGCTCTGAACACAAAATACCTCATTCATCTTGCCACAAAGGAATCATCTATGTGTAGGATTCATGGTCACAAACTGCCTGGTGCCTGCAGAAGGGACTTTGACTTCCAGTCCAGTTGGGGAAAGTGGGACAGGCAGGTAAAGAGACTGAGAACTGGCTGAAGGAGCTAAGGCAGCTGCTGTAGGGTATCAGGGAAGGCTTCCTGGAGGCAGTGGCAGTGGAACTAGACATTGAAGGGAAGCAGGAGAGTGACAGGGGTATGATAAGTCTTGTCATGTTTGCTGGATTTGAGCTCTTGGACTTGGAGGGCAGAGCAAAATGTCACCTGTCTTCACGCAGTGTTCAGATGCCTAAGGAACAATGAAGCTTGTCTCTCCTGTCCTCTGCCCTTGGTCAGCAAGGCAGTCCGTGGCCTGGTGGGGCTGTGGGAAGCCCTGTGGTCCGGCTTGCAGACCAAGCACATCCTGGTTGCCCCACCGCCCTCCTGACTGCTCCCAGACTCACTACGCTCTCCTCCTTCCCCTGCAGCCAAGAAGACCTGTGCGGACAGTGACTTCACCTGTGACAACGGCCACTGCATCCACGAGCGGTGGAAGTGTGATGGCGAGGAGGAGTGTCCTGACGGCTCCGATGAGTCCGAGGCCACTTGCAGTGAGTCCTGCCCCTCAGGCTGGGTGGGGGTGGGCCTCGGTTTCCTCCTCAGATCTTCCTTATTGAGAAGCTGTGAGGCTCAGGAGAGGCGACCAGTTGAACACTGTGCCACGCCCTCAGGGCGCTCCTGGTAAACAGGTGTGTTTAGTTGCTGGTTTCTACTGTCCTGTGTCTGGGCTTTCTTCACAGCCCTCTTGCAGATTGGACCCTGTTTCTGTGGCAGCAGCAGCTAGAAAGAGTCTTGTCAAGCCCTTCTGCCCAGAAGGAGCCCTAGTGTGTCCTCCAGGCCTCCCTGCTGCTGTTCTTGAGAACTCCGACCATAATTCCAGGAGTGCCAATGGCAGCTGGCGCTTCTTAAGCCTTTACCATGTGCTAAGCTCTCTGTGTGCATTAATGCTTTTTATCCCCACAGCAGCCTCATGAAGCAGATACTGTCATTTTCTGAGTTTTGTAAAGGAGAACACTGAAGCTCAAAGAGGTTGAGTGACTTGCCCAAGGCTACCCAGCCAAGACTCTGAGGCCCTGGCCCATTCCTCTATCCTGGGTGGGCTGAGCCTTGGAGCTCCTGCCTCCATCACCAGCTGGGTGGTGGCAGAGGCAGGCGGGGGGAGGTGGAGGCCAGAGCTGAGCCCCAGGCCTGCCCCCTACACTCAGGGCTTTGTCTCTCCATGATTTATTTTCCAGGCCCTAATCCTCAAAGCAAACTTACACCCGGCAGGTCATTCCGTGACATTTGTTAAATTAAAAAGGAGATGAGAAGGGGGCGGGGAAGGACCCCGCAGTCCAGAGGCAGAGCTTCAGCAGCGTGAGCCCGAGACAAAAGGCTCAGGCGAAAGCATGTGGAGGATGGTGGGGCTGGCGGGGACCCGAGAGCCCCTCTTTAGGGGTAACAGTCGCCCCAGAGGCAGAGGTAGGGACAATGGAGACCGGAGTCCCATCTAATGCTGTGGCTGGTGATAACTGGGTTTCCTTGTCTCCTAGCAACAGAGCTACCAGTCTCCACGTAAGAGAAAGAGAAAGGGAGAGAGAGAGAGAACAGAGCAAGAGCGGCCCCCACCCGAGACAAGGAGCCCTCATTTCCTCGTACAGCTGCTCCTGGCCTCCCCAGCCATGCCACAGGCCCCATCCTTTCCTCACCCATCACGTGGCCAAACTCCATGCCGTACTGGAGGCTCCCAGGCAGGAGGGAAGCCCAGTGCTTTGTCCTGAGCTTCAGAAGGAACAAAGCCCCGCCACGCCCACTTGTGACTTTCATCCTCTTGGCAACCTAAGGAAGGAGGGGGATCCCCATGTAAAGAGAAAGAAACTGAGGCTGGAGTCGGTTCTCCCCCTTGCCCAAGGCTGCCCAGCTAACAAGAGGCAGAGTCGTGTGCAGCCTGGAGTGTGTGCTTGGGGAGGGGTTGTGGCTACAGGGGGCTTTTCCTTCACTGCAGTCAGCCAGCTCCTCCATCCGTACCGCACTCCAGCAGATACTCCGACACTGGGGACGGAAAGGGAAGGGAGAGGAGCCTCATTGTGGTTATTAGAGGGGGCTGCCTTGCTACCTGAGGGCTGGGCTCCCCTTCTCCCCCCGCCTCCACACTCCCATCTCTATCTCTTTGTGTGGATGTCCCTTTTCATCTTCCTTTCTGTCCCCTTCAGGGTCCCACCCACCCCTGCCCTCTTGGGCTGCCTCCCTTCCCTGCTCATCTCCTATCCTCACCCTCCCTCTCGCCATCTCTCCCCCCTGCCCTACCCATGTGTCCCTCTGTCTTTCTCCCTCTTGCCCATCCCAGCACCTGCTGCCTTCTCACCCCCTGGGCTGGGCAGGGGCCCTCCTGCCTCACTCTTCCTGCCTCCCAGGCCCGCTTTTCACAGTTGAGGGACAACCCCCTGGGCTGGGCAGGGGCCCTCCTGCCTCACTCTTCCTGCCTCCCAGGCTTGCTTTTCACAGTTGAGGGACAACTGGAGACCCAGAGAAGTTGATAGACTTCCTTCACAGAGACACAGCTTATTCATGGCAGGTCTCCCTTTTATGAAAAAAGGCTCTTCGAGCTCTCTGAGGTTTCACAAGGCACCTGTGGGAGCAGTAGCCAGAGCAGCACCCCAGGAGACAGAAGCCCAGCTCTCCTGTGGGCTCTCCCAGCTACTCACTGTGAAGCCCTGCATACCTTCCCACCTCCCTCTGGGTCCTGATCAGTAACATTCCAGAATTCCAGAATCTTCTCCACTCCTAGATTCCTAAACTCTTAGTATTCCGAGACCCCTTTTCTCCCTCGCTTGTGCTAGCTGGGGTGCAAGAGCCATGATGCCCACTTCCTGTATTACATTGGTCGGGTGGAGGCAAGGCAGAAGACTGCCTGGAGGAAGCTGGCCAGAGTGGGAGCGCCAGTCAGGGTCAGGCAGAATTTGGGGCAGCAGGACCTGATAGCAGGCTTGCTCACTCCTTCCCAACTGAATGAGAACCTAGCAGCCAACCTACTATCCATTTAATTGGTGTTGCCATAGCAACCTCCACGGCCTACCAGGTTCCTGGGGCCGTGCCAGCTCCCAGGATGGAGCCCCATTCCCTACCCCTAAAAGAAAGATTATAGGCAGTAAAGTGTAGTGAGTTTGGAATCGGATATAGTTGGGTTCAGGTCTTTTAACCTGTCAGATCTCAGGCAAGCTGCCCAGTCATCCTGAGCCTCAGTTTATTCACCTGTAAAATGTGGTAATGGACCTGCCTTAGAGGGATTGTGAGAATCAAATGAAAGAATGCAAGTGTCATTGCTGGAGTAAATGGCAGTGTTATTTGTATTATTATATTTTGGCTGCAAGCCCTCTCTCCCCAACACAACAGTTTGTTAGATATTAAGATATTAGATTCGTATAGTATTAAAATAGTGTCAGTGAAGGGGTTTGCACTGAGTGGGAAAGGGGTTTGAGAGAAGGTCCCAATTCTTGTGTTTTCCCCCATTATATTGTCTGACCCTAGCTGGCTGGGGTTTCTCCTCTGGTTCTGGGTTCTGTACCTTCAAATGTAGCGAGGATTCACAATGGAAAAGCCCAGAACATTTGCCTAGTGGCAATAGCATTTCAGCTCTAATTATAGCTCACTTGATTGGGGATGGCTTCTGACCCACCTTCGAGCGTCTGTTGGGAGGGGTGAGGGTGGGGGAGGGAAGGATGGTTCAAGGTGAGTTATAGTTCTGGATGCTATTTATTTGAATATGGAGGCTTTTTCATGCATCTTAGAACCTTTCCACCTGGAAGGGGGGCCTCTCTGATTAACCAGGATTATCTTCCTATTACAGATCAGAATATGGAGGCCCAGAGATTTTCTGAGCTCACTCAATAAGTTAGAGACTGACCCAGCTAGCGGCATTTTGCCTGGCCTCAACCGAAGGAACTTGGTGTAACTCCTTGTCCTGCACCTTGGGTGGCCCCATGCTGTGCTTCCTGTGGCAGGAGCTGTACTGAGTGACACTAGCAGTTCTCACCACCCGAGCCTCTGGTCCCTTAGAGCTGGCAGTCCCCATTTGGAGGTTATCTGCCCCTAAAACTCACGTGGGTTGACACTATAGATGTGCTCCCTCAATGAGCAGCCGCCAAGTACTTTCATTCTTTAATTTAATAGACATTTCCCTTTTTGTTAATTTGTGAATTTATGAATTGGAGAAAGTACCAATGGATTTGAATTTCTGGGGCAGGATTCTCTGGGAATTTAAATGCCTTTAAATGCCTTGAGTCACTACAGGATACAGAGTTTCATGAAAAGCCCCCTTGCCAGCTTTGGAGGGTTCCTGTTGTCTGGGAGACAGTGGGATTCTTCATTCCTGCCTCTCAGAACCTAGGGTACTTGGAGAGCAGGCCAAAGGCATATGGTCCCCTCAGGGGGCATCTGTCACAGAGGGAGTGGCTATCCTGGGATGGGGTCTGCATCGTGGTGGACCATGTGGACTCATAATGTGCATTCCCCAGTGGTGACACCAGGCCCCTCCCCAGCCATTGGTATTTGCACTTCGTGAAATTAAACAAGGGCAAGTGTTTTCTGAGCTCCTAGTTTGTTCTAGGCTCTGAGTGTAGGGATTTCCATGTTTCCTCATTTAAGCCATCCACTAACCCTAGGAGATTATTCAACCCCATTTTCAGATGAGGGGAGCCAGAGTGCAGAGAGGTTCAGTAAGTTGCCTAAGGACCTTAGTATTAGTAAATGAAATTTGGGCCCAGGTCTGTGTGTCTCTAAAACTCAGGCTCTTTCTCCTACATCATGCTGCTGGGAGCCCTTGGGCTTCAGTTGTCCTGAGAGTGGACATCAGATGGCCATCGTGCAGAACCTGCCCAAAGGCTCAGTGAGCCCCCTTCCTCCAGTGACCTCTCTCCAGGCCAGAGGTGCCAGGGAGACCAACAGGATCTGCTTTTCTCTTGTGCAGTCATTAGGTGCAGTAAGTTAAGCAGTGTGTTTGGACCTGGGATGGAAGTCCAGATCTGCCTCTCACCACTAGACTTTGAACAAACAACTTACTCTCTCTGGGCTTTACTTTCTTCATTCATAAAATAGAGGTAATAATATCCACTCATAGGGTGATACCATGTGTCAGTAATTACCCAGACCAACTTCCCAGGACTGTGGAGTGGAGAGGCCTGACATAGGACCCTGCGAGCCAGGCTCCAGTCCTACCTTTGGGGGAAAGCTACAACACAGGAGAGACAGTGAGGTTCCAGGAGAGACAGGAATTGGAATACCCAACTGCCAGTAGCTGTGTGACCCTAGGCAGGTCCCTTCCCCTCTCTGGGCCTTGGTCTCCTGCCACTCCAAGGGTGTTCATCAGTGTGACCTCTGAGGTCTCTCAAGTCCTGCATTCCAAGAGCCTTGGCTCTTTGAGGGTGGAGGGCTGTTATCAGGCACTGCTGAATCCTCGAGAGCCTATAATTAGAGCTGTCTATTTAGGGACACAGCAAATGTCTTATTAATTATAAAGAAAGGAAGCAGACAGATTGTTTAATCATTGTCCTTGCTGAAAGGTTATGCAATTAACTATATAAATATTCATTAAAAGTTCAAGCAGCTGCTTGCTGCACTGGGGTCTCTAGAACCCAGGCCCCTGGAGGTGAAGCATACAGCCAAGGGCCCTTTCAGTCACCTGGGCTTTTGGGAGGAGAGTTTGGGGATAGTTTTGGAGCATGTAGGGTTTGATGGACAGGCAAGGCTCTAGTCATAGGAACCCAGGCTCGGTCTCTCGCCTGCTGTGCACCTTTGGGCCAGTTACTTGGTCTCGCTGAGCCTCAGTTTCCTCATCTATAAAATGGAGTGCTTACATGCAGGACTGCTGCCCTGCTGTACTCTGGGTATGCCACTTATGTGGTGACCTTTGTAAATGGCACCCCTGGAATTTGCACTGGCAGCCCACAGGGCCTGCTTACCTTACAACAGACATTTATTGCTCACAGTTCTGGAGGCTAGGAAGACCAAGATCAAGGCACCGGCAGTTTCAGTGTCTGGTGAGGGCCCATTCCTCATAGACGGCACCTCCTTGCTTCATCCTCACATGGTGGAAGGGGCAAGGAGGCTCCCCCTGGCCTCTTTTCTAAGGGTACTAATCTCATTAATGAGAGCTGTACCATTATGGCTTAATCACCTCCTAAAGGCCTCACCTCTTAATGCTATCACATTGAGGATTAAGTTCCAACATGGATTTTCAGGGGATACTGATGATCAGACCATGACAGAATGAAATGAAAACATATAAAATTCTCATCACAGAGCAGCCTGACACAACGTAGCCTGACACACCGTAGCCTGACACAATGTAGGTATTCAAAAACTGGGAGTCCCCTCCTACTTCCTTGAGAGGTTCTGTTTCCTGAGGCCTGGCTTAGGGATAAGTAGTTGCTTTGACCTTCCTTCCCATTGCTGTCTTAGGGGCCTGCAAGTATATGGAACATCTGTATTGCTTTTATGGTAGTGAATTGAAAAGAGATGAAACATCCCGTGTCTTTTATGCTTGCAACCCAGGGGTTCCCAAATAGAGGTGCATGGAAATCACCTGGGTTTTGGTGGGGAGTTACGAAAATGCAGATCCCTAGGCTCTGCCCTAGAAGTCTAGATTCAGCCGGTATGAGCTGAGGCCAGGAACCTGCACTTTCAGTAGCTCCCTCACCCCCCATCCTTTGATGAGAGGACCCCCAGCGAAGCACTGGTCAGCTTCAGCTTCCTGTGTTCCAGTGGGGCCCAGAGGGGAGGTGCTTACCTGGGGTCCTGCAGTGTTGGTGATAGAGGTACCCTGGAAGGACCCCATCTCCCAACTCCCAGTTTCCCTTCACCACCCTGCACTGCAGCCCCAAGGTGGCCTTTATAAGAGGCCTTTGAGTGTCAGTACTTTCCAGAGCTCAACCTGACAGTTCTTTGCTCATCCATCCCACAAGTCTGCCAATCCTCGAGCAAGGGAAGTTTCTGTGAAAACGAATCCCAGGAATCCTGCATTCCCAAGGAATTGCCCTGTACTCATGAAAACATTCCTAGGGATAACCTTGGGGACCTCACTTTCAGGGGCCTAAGGTACTCTTCTCCCATGGCAGTAGTGGTGTCTGGGGACCTTGACACAGATACCTGCCCCCCTCCTCAACTCATCTGTGCCCTTTTCTATATCCCTTGTGGTCTCTCATCCCAGCTATAGAAATAGGAAGAGGAGAAACTGGTCTGAGATCAGAGAGCAAAATGGAGGGTGAGGCATGAGTAGCCCACTGCCTCCGGGGGGAAATGGATTGTGCCAGGTCTCCGGCATCAGACACAGCTGACTTTCAGTCAATCCTAACGCTGTTCTTTACCAGCTCTGTGACCAGAACTTAGTGCTTACCACCATGTTTGTCACACAGCAGTGCTCAAATACTCCATGAATAAGCAAAATTCAGAGTCATCTGTTATGTGTGGATAATCATAATAGGTAACATTTAGTAAGCACTGGGCTGGGTATTCTTCTAGGTGCTTGCTTTACAGACATTAACTTAGTCATCATAACAATCCTATGAGGGATAGTATTATCCCCACTTTATTAGCACAGAGATGAGGATTGTTGGCCAAGGTCACATAGTCAGTGAGTGAGTGAACTAGGATTTGAACCCAGGCAGCCAGATTCCAGAGCCCATGTTCTCCACCTCCATGCTGGAGGCCAGCACATAATCCTCTCACCCTGCTGGCTTATTGTGAAAATTAAATGGAAGCGTCTAGCACCATGCCTGGCACATCCTAGAGACCACAGAAATCGGGCCTCCTGCACACTCTGGAAGGCTGTAGGGAGCCAACCACGGAGGTCTGAGATGCATCTGCCTTGGCTGAGCCTGTCACATGGGTCCGGCAGAAACTCATGATAAGAGCTGTCCCCAGCCTTGAATAGGGTTCTCATTCTTTCTTCCAAATTGAGATTCAACCCTGGGGCTTCAGGCCCCTGATTGAGTCAGCCTCTGATTGCGGCTGCAGTAATTATAGCTATGCAGTCCCGCTGGGCCCTGCTATGCAGCAGCTGTTCTCAGCAGCAGGCTCAGCACCATCACTCGGGGAGGGGGCTTAGAGGCGGGCCGATTGGAGCCGTTGGGGCCTTGGTGAACCCTCTAAATTTACAGGTTCCAATCATGGAGTCACTGATCTGGAAGGCAAACTGAGGCCCAGCTGGGACATATCTCACCTAAGAGCACACAGCTGGGAAATGACAGAGACGAGTGCAGGGCATGGTGGCTCCATGTTGTCGGAACTTAAAGTGGAGGTTTGGAGGGATGGGAGGTGTGGCCAGGAGAGGCAGGCAGGAGTCAATGGATTAAAGAGGAACTTGAGGGCCAGGGACCAGGGGGCCATGAAAGATGTTCTGTAGAGAAGTGGTGGGGTCAGATTTAGGATTTGGAAACTCCTGGGACAGACAGAGGCTTCTTCTCAGCTGATGAAACTGAGACATGGGCCAGGAGAGCCCTGATGGACTCCTAGGGCCTTGGACCAGGTGGCTGGAACAGAGTGGTAGGACTGGTTGGCACCATGCCCTGTGTCCCCCTTGGCTAAGCTATGCATGGACGTCTGTCTCCACAGCCAAGCAGGTGTGCCCTGCAGAGAAGCTGAGCTGTGGACCCACCAGCCACAAGTGTGTACCTGCCTCATGGCGCTGCGACGGGGAGAAGGACTGCGAGGGTGGAGCGGATGAGGCCGGCTGTGTTACCTGTGAGTCTGGGGTCAGATCCCCAGGGTCTGCCAAGCATGGTCAGGCAGCCTCAGGGAGTGACAGCCACTTCTGGGGAGGGGCCTAGTTCCCCGTGGGGCTTGGTAGGTGGAGAGGAAAGGATAATGATCAGGACATTAGTAATGGCTAGACACTATGGAGACATTGTCTTCTTTCATCTTCACAAGCACCTCATGAGCAGCCATTATCATCCCCATTTTATAGGTGAGGAAACTGAGGCTCAGACAAGGGAGGAAAAGTACCCAGGGCTGAGTGATGAAACCAAGATTCAGATTCAGGACTGGACAGCAAAGCCCATGAGCTTTTTTACCATGCCTGACATCTGCTCATCCATCCCACAAGTCTGCCAATCTTCGAGCAAGGGCAGGGGGACCAGGGAGGGTACTGTAAGGAGAAATGGTGGTGGCCTGAGCCAGAGTGCCAGCAGTGCTGGGGGGAGGGGCACGGATTCCTGAGGTGTCAAGGACGACTGTTGCTGAAATATCAGATTTGAGCACAAACGTCACAGGGCAGAGAAGATATTCTCAGCAGCCTCGGCAGGGACAGATGGAAGTGGCCACTGGGACAGTTCCACATCACTGAGCTTCAAACACAGGATTATCTCCTTCCCAGGGAGCAGGCCAGCAGGGCCAGGGCCAGTGAGGAGGATGGCCAGGCCTTACTTTTTCAATTCGAGGGGCACCTACTGTGTGCCAGGCCTGAAGCCAGGCTCTGAAAGGGACAGTGAGGTGAATCCTACACAGTCGTCCCTCTGGGAACACATGATTAATGGGGGAGACAGACTGGCTGTTGCTACTGGGCTGTGCGGCTGGGCTGAGATATGGGCGGTCACCCTGGAGGGCTTGCCAGGCACTTGCCCGTCACTGCTGCCTACTCCCCTCTGCCAGCCTCTATATTTGCATCCTATCCATCTTTCCTGGCCCAGGGAAAATGCCATCTCCTCCAGAGGTGTCTGAGTAGTCGCACTTTAAGATTCTAAGTCTGGAATTTGATGTGTCTGAAGCAGGAAGCATCTGGGTATGGAGGGAGATCCTGGCTGGGAACAGTAGTTTCAAAGTCCCAGTGATGGCACTGGCTCACTTCCTCAGCTGTGATAATTTTGCTGGGACTCACTGGCCAATGAGAATCCTCTTTCCTCTTTACCAACCCCCATAATCAGATGATTCCTCCAATATGAAGGCCGCTACTGCAAGGGATGGGAGCTTCTCCAACTAGGGCATGTTGGAATAGGAACATTCCCCATTAATTATGGGAGACAGGGGTGTCAGGTCTTACTGGGCTTCTGTGCTACAGCTCCCACTCTCCTAGGCAGAGGAGAAAGAGTCCTCCCACCCCTCATCTCTCTGAGCTTCTTCCATTTGTGAATGCTAGGAGTAGGGTCTCTGGGGCTATGTAGGCCTGAGAATATGGATCTTAAAGTTACTGTTGGCTGCAAAACCTCAGAGAAAACTCAGTATGAAGGAGCACTTCCTTGCCATCAAAATCTTCAAGTAAAATTAAAAAATAAGGCTGGGCGTGGTGACTCATGCCTGTAATCCCAGCACTTTGGGAGGCCGAGGCAGGTGGATCATGAGGTCAGGAGATTGAGACTATCCTGGCTAACAGGGTGAAACTCCACCTCTACTAAAAATACAGAAAAAGAATTTAGCTGAGCATGGTGGCACGTGCCTGTAGTAACAGCTACTCGGGAGGCTGAGGCAGGAGAATCACTTGAACCCAGGAGGCAGGGTTGCAGTGAGCTGAGAGCGTACCACTGCACTCCAGCCTAGGTGAGAGAGCGAGACTCCGTCTCAAAAAAGAAAATTTAAAAAAAAAAAAAGCACTTCCCATTGGAACTCCCAGAAAGCAGTGAGTCTGCCCTCCCTGCACATGCACAAGCTGGGTGGGGACAGGCAGGAAGGGAGCTCATCTAGGTGTCAGTGTAATCTTGAGGGGCAGTGGCACTGGCAGCATGTGCTTTTTCCGCTAATGCCGCAGTGTCTCAAAAGTCTCGGAGGGGAAAAAAAACGCAACTGTCAGACACTTGGTAGAGCTGTCAGAAACGCATAACACGAGCTACCTACCTGGTGAAACTGAAGACATCACTCTTTATCTTCAATAACAATGAAAATTCACATTTTTCCATCAGAAAATGAAAACACAGACTCTGGGCGCCCCCACGTGGAAAGATCTAGTGCTGCCACCACCACATCACCTTTGGCCACAGCCATGCCTCACCAGGGCCCTCCAGGGCCAGGTCTTGGCCTGTGTGTGGACACACAGGAGGGAGGGAAGTGAGGAGGTCACTGCCCTGAAAAACTGCTGGAAAAACTCCAGGAAGGGAGAAGAAAACCAGAAAAGCCAAAAGGAGGAGACAGGGTAGGAAAGAAAAGCCCCAAACCTGAGTTCTGGTTCTCTTGTTGTCATGGACTATGTGACCCTGGGCAAGCTGCTCCTCTCTCTGGGCCTCAGTTTCCCCATCTGGCAATAGGGCTGGCTGGTCTCTAAGTTCATCCCAGCCGCTGAGCTCAGACTAGCTTATCAGAGAGAAGCCCAGAGCCCCAGGCAGAGCTATGACGCTTATTTACTGCACATCCCATAATTACACCTCATACCTGGGCCAGACCAGTTCTATCCACTCCACACCCACTCACTGCAGGGAGCTCTGTGCCAGGCCCTCAGGACAAAGGAGGGACGCCCCTAGGCAGTGTGGATTCATGGGGCAGATGGAAAAGGACATGAAACTCAGACACCTGCGCGACTGAGGGGCTCAGAAACAAGGGCAGAGGCAGAGATTTCCTAAGCAGGGAAACACCAGGGTGTCACGGAAGAGGTGGAATTTGGGCCCTTGGAAGATGAGAACTCATTATTGCAAAATGTAGAGACAGTGGTGGGCAAGTAGTAGGTTCCCAGTAGATGGAGCAACTTGAGCAAAGACTTGGAGGTGGGAGCCTATGCACTGGGCCCAGCAAACGGTCTAGCATGGCCGGAGCTGTGAACATTCAGGAGTGAGGTGATGGAGCCACAGTACTGACCCAAGAGACGCCTTGGATACCAGGCCAAGGGACTCAGGTGGAACAGTGCAGGTTATGCTGTGCATCGCTATGCTATGAAAAGCCAACCCCAGACCCTGGTCCCTGGGAAGGGTCAGTGTCATTTAACAGATCATGTCCTGGGCCCATCACAAGGTCCTTCAAGACAGGCAGTGCTGTAAGGTTTCAGAATGCCCCTCCTTGTTCCACCATGCTCATGCTCATTTACCCAGTGAGGCCTGGGGGGCTCACGAAGGGCAGGTGTGTTGCCTGTCACCTAGCATGTCCGTGTTGGAAGCCCTCCTTCGCCGTGCCTAACTGTACGTCCACCATTCAGCCCCCAAAAGGGACTTGATCTGGCCCCCGGGTGAGGGTCGGAACCCCTGTAGCCGGACCAGCGGGGCCCCAGGTCTGCCGGGGAGGGGGTCGGCGGGCCGACCTGCTCTCTGTCCCGCGCAGTGTGCGCCCCGCACGAGTTCCAGTGCGGCAACCGCTCGTGCCTGGCCGCCGTGTTCGTGTGCGACGGCGACGACGACTGCGGTGACGGCAGCGATGAGCGCGGCTGTGCAGACCCGGCCTGCGGGCCCCGCGAGTTCCGCTGCGGCCGCGATGGCGGTGGCGCCTGCATCCCGGAGCGCTGGGTCTGCGACCGCCAGTTTGACTGCGAGGACCGCTCGGACGAGGCAGCCGAGCTCTGCGGCCGCCCGGGCCCCGGGGCCACGTCCGCGCCCGCCGCCTGCGCCACCGCCGCCCAGTTCGCCTGCCGCAGCGGCGAGTGCGTGCACCTGGGCTGGCGCTGCGACGGCGACCGCGACTGCAAAGACAAATCCGACGAGGCCGACTGCCGTAAGCCCCCTCCATACCGCCCAGCCCCGCCCAGGGATTGCGGATCCGCTACCCGATCCCGATCCGCCAGGTGCAGGCTTCCTTTCATTGCCTTACCTGAATACATTACCTGGGTTTACTACAGAGGAGACCGAGGCTGGGAGAAGTGAAGTGACTTGTTTGAGTTCATGCAACTGCCTGGCTGCGGAGCTCAGGTTTAACTCCAGAAGCCTCCACTGGTACCTGTGTCCCTGCTGTGAGCCCTCCCACTTGTACTTCCCACCCCCATCCTGCAACCCCTCTACCCAGAAACCTGGCAGACTCAGGAGCTCCTCCCATCTCTTTACCCGCTAGGCCTGCTCATTCCTCAAGGCCTGGCCTAGACTCATCTGACCTTCCCAGCTGGGCTGGGTCCCTCTGCCGGGCAGGTCTCCAGCAGCCTTCTCTTACAGCTCATCTCACACTTATGTCCCCATCTGAGCATTCCTCAGCCCCGCTCTGCACCCTGAGCTCCTGGAGGATGAGGAGGCTCTCAGGAGTCTCTGGGCTCCCACCCCCACTTCCACCCCTCCCAGCACAGCACCTGGCACAGGAAGGTTTGCCAAATGGATGAAGTCATTAAGTAATGAGCACCAAGACTCAAATGAAGGCCGTGTGTCTGTTCTGAGGAGTGGCCCTGGAGAGAGGCAGGGACAGGGAAACAAGAGACCTGGGTTTAGTCCTGAATCTGTCAGCCAGAGTGCTGTGTGACCCTGGGCAAGGCATTCCCCCTCTCTGAGCTTCAGTCTCCCCATCTGTACACTGAGGTGCCTTGGCCAGGTGTCCTTTGAGGACTCCTAAGTTCAGCCACTGGTTCGGTTTTTGCCAGGGGTGGCTATGGCATGGGGATGGGGGTGGTGGGGAAACTGTCTTAGCACCACACTGACTCTGATCCTCTCCCCTTGCCCTCTCCTGGCAGCACTGGGCACCTGCCATGAGAACGAGTTCCAGTGTGGGGATGGGACATGTGTCCTTGCAATCAAGCGCTGCAACCAGGAGCAGGACTGTCCGGATGGGAGTGATGAAGCTGGCTGCCTACAGGGTGCGTGTGATCAGGGCACAGAACACATCTTCTGTGAGGATGCCCTGGGCTCTGGTGACTCTCCAGAGAGCAGAGTTGGGAGGAGTTTTCCCTTGGTCTCCAAGAAGCATTTTCCCCCAAATCACCACTTGCCCCTAAATCACCTGGCTCCCTTCCCATGGGGTCCTAGTGGCACCAGAATTGGATTTGTAAGGACTTTGTCAAAGCTGAAAGACGCCTAGGGCTACATGACAGGGCATTTGGGAAGTCCAGCCCCCACCACTTGTCCAGGTCCCAGCTGCTGAGTGGCTTCCCTCACTAGTTCCGAGGCTGAGCAGAGGCTGAGTCTTGCTCCCCAGGCACCCCCTTTAATTCTCAGATGGTTCTTCTGGCCTCCACCTGCCCTCTGCAGGAGCAGGGACCCTCCTTCACTAGTCATCTGGAGGAATGGATAACAGGTTGGGCAGTGTGGCAACTTCCCCTCTCTGGGGTCCATGGGGCAAAGGTCCCCCCAGGAGATGGTCAGTCCAGCCTCTAAGGTCTCTCTAGAGCTGCTGCCTGGTCCCTCCCAAGACCTGAGTTCTGCAAGATGAGATGCAGATCCCCACAGCCCTGCCCAGCTACATGAGGCTTAGCCTCCTAATCATCCCTGGGATCCTGTCCTGTGAGCAGAGCTTCCTTAGGTCCTGGATTTACCTGTCTATCCTGGGCCACCCTCCAGAGACCTGTGAGGGGTTAGAACTGGAGCTCTACTTGCCTCCTGTGGGCCCCAGCCCAGCCCAGCCCTTCTTGTCCAAGGTCTCACAGGCACTGTCCACTCTCTTGTCCAGCCCAACAGAGTCACCTTGTGAGGGTCCCCGCAGATTTCAGTGTAAGAGTGGCGAGCGCGTGGACGGCAGGAAAGTGTGTGATGTGCAGAGGGACTGCCGGGATTGGTCAGATGAGCTTCTGAAAGTGTGGTGCAGTGCCTGTCTACGCCCACTGGCTGGACTCAGTCTCCTGCCATCCCTCTCCTGGTATCTGGGCTCGAGGCCCTCCAGTGCCCCCTGCCCTGACAATTTCTGCTCTGACCCTCTCTTTGGACTCATGTGCTGTCCTATGGCTTCACATGGGGCTTTTCACCCCCAGGCCTCTGGTCTACATCTCTACAAAGTGCTAAGAGCTTGTCCATCCCAGGTACTAAAAAATTATGTTTTCTCTCACAAACTTGGCCTCTCCTCATTCCTTCCCCGTTCAGACCTCTGAGACCTTCTGGAACTTTCTCTCATCCTCGGTGTTCCTGCCCTGCTGACCTAGCCAGGGCCCTGGGCTCTGAGGTCTTCTAGCCCCTTGCAGAAGACCCAGCAGAGGAAGAGGTGGGCACAGCAGGCAGGCAGCCAGTTGAAGCACATCCCAGGGCCACTGCTCAGGCCATACCTGCGTGGGAGTAGGGCAGGCCTTGCAGCAGGAGCTGGCATCATCCTAAGCCCTGAGGAGTTCGGACCTGATGGAGAGACCAGACTTGTAGGCCAGACTAAAGCGAGACCTGGATGGAAGCGGCTGCCCTGATGTCGGCTACAGCTGTCAGGGTGGGTTTCAGGCTAGAAAGAACAGAGGCTCCAGGCTCTAGGTAGGGTGAGCATCCCAGAGAACATGCTGGAAACCCAGCGTGGACTCCAGGAAGGGTCATGAGTCTTTTTTTTTTTTTTTTTTTTTGGAGGGGAGGAGAAGTCAGTGAGATTTTTGAAAGGGCTCAGAACAGAGAGGTTACTTTTGAACAAATGACATGTAAGGCAAGATAAATTTGCATTTTGCAGACCTCATGAAAAACAAGTCCAGCTTTGTCTGGGATTCGCTGAGAAGTCATTGAAGGTAAGCATCAGCTCCCTATTGGTCATGATGGGGTAAAAACCAGAGAAACATGAGCTAAAAAGAGTTTATATGTAACTGTAGGTTGATCATCCCCAACTTTCCACAAAGGCCTTTCATTTCCATTTTGAATGAGTATACGATAACCTAGACAGGCCAGCCCCTGTCACCAAGCACAACACTGGACTCTTGACATTTGCCTAATTATCTTTTCTCATCATCAGTCATTTCTTGAAGTCTCAGCTTCATTCAGATGCCAGGTATTTCCGAAATTAATCATGTCATTGAAAGCGGCATCTTTTCATGTAAATGGACTTTATTATCTGGATCAGAAAGCCCCCCCTTTGAGCACCAAAAGCCCATTTGTAGGGAAAGTGTCTGAAATCTGACATGCTGCCTTCCCAAGAAAGATTCTTAGTGTTGACCTCCCAGCAAGCACCAAGCATTCGTCACTGTGAGCTTGTGTGTGTGCGTGTGTGTGCAGCTAAGAGCCTTGGGCTGGCTGCATGCTAATTTGCCCCATTGTTTCAGGGTGACTGCCTTTTCAGTATTTAGGAACAAAGCCTTTTTGCATACAGCTTTATGTACAATTATTTTATGTTTACTTCGAGGGCCATCATCTTATCTTTATTGCAGGTATATTAGGGGATGCCAGAGCTGCTTTGTCTCCTTGTAAGGTTGCAGATTACAAACAGGGTTTAGCATGCTAACTAGTATACTCCTCTTTCATTTAAAGGCATTTTACAAACTTCTAAGGATCCTGGAGTAAATCAACATGTGGCCCTGCTCAGTCTCTTCAGATTCAAGGATGAGAGGCAGAAGATATTTCTGAGAGCTGGGTGAAGTGCCATCAAATTTAATTTTTGAGTGTACAACATTTAGTTTATAAAGAATGGGCAAATAAGGAATAGAAAGCAAAAAACTCCCACTTGTGAAATATCACCAAAACCTTAACAGGGCCTCTAAGAGAGTGGCATACTCAGGCTCACAACAATATATTGGCTGGGACATATATCTAATTAGCAAGTAGGGGGTGTCTGATGAAAAATCAACTTCTAGAACACACTTGCAGTGCAAAATCCCCCCTCCTCTGTGTATAATAACACATAGGGAAAGTTCGTTCTACATCTCATTCTCACTTTTCTTTTATTCTATGCTTTAACAACTGGGTGTTAGTGATAGGGGTATTTTCCTGCTTCCCCCTGGACAGAGTGAAGAAGAGTAGTATTAATAACTTATGATATTTTCTCCTAGGTGGAAAACAAAATTAATGCTGTGACATAAACTGACAAAAACCAGCAAATTAAAAGTTAAGGCTGAAACTCGTTTGTGGTGGTTTTTTTGTCTTTTGCTCATGGTAAATGAATTTAGTGGGAATAATTTGCTGGGGGAAAGATCTAATTGTACAGCTCATCAAGAAAAAAATACATATTTCTAAAAATTTTTCACCCTCTTTAATACCAACTGGCTTTACCTGACCCCTACTTTCTTTTATCCACTTCATTTTCCTAAACCTGAAAACTTTCTTAAACCAAAGGAAAACAAAATCATCCTTTCATAGCCTTCAAAAACGCTAAGTAATACTTTTCTCAGTTTTCAAGACAAATTAACAGACTCAAAAAACTTTGAGGGTATTCTAAATCAGAATTGGGAGAGAGTACAGATGATTTGGAATTTGGAAATACATCTTTGGAGTGTTGCATTAACATCCAAAGTATTATAAGAAAAACACATATAAAAATCAACTTTTGAGGGGCCGCATTTAGGAAAGATCTTAACCCCTCCATTCTTTGTAGTGTTTGAAGATTCGCCAAAAGGGAGAAAAGGGAGTATAAATTCAAGGAATGAAGCTCTAGGCTCTAGGCCAGCAACTCTGAACATTCATCTTTCCCCCTCGCTAAAAAGAATTATTTCTGGGGAAGAAGTTTCATGAGGGCTTGCACTTCTCAGGGCTTTCCTGAATGCCAAAATGATTGTGAACTTTACCTTCCTTTTTGCATCTGCCTTTGGTCATATTAATCTTGGATTCCTTTCATCTTTGGGGTTTACTGTTACAAACATAAATGACTTTTTCTGGTGTATTGCCATTCTTTGTGTCTTGATAAATCATTTCCACTATCCTTTTTTTTTTTTTTTTTGA